AGTAAGTGCCAGCTGTGCCATGGACGGTTGTAATCTCTCGACGCCTGAATCCAGGCGTTGCTGTTGTGGTAGAGGCTGTTGGGATTGTTGCTGCAGCGACTGACCCTGCTGTGAGGAAGATGATTGAGCCTGTGGTAGGACTCTGGAGTTGGATGTTGATGAACCAGGGCTGAGATCATTAACAATGCGTACACGGTTATTGAGCTGTGCTAGAGGATCCACAAATTCAACTGCAGTGCTGTTACCATACACATCAAAAAGACCCCAAAGCTGAGAGCGTGTATCCACTCCCCCAAAGAATACACCCCGCTCTTCTCCATTAATGCCAAAATGTACATCACCAGTTGAATCAACATAATAGAAGAGGATGCTACCCTGTTCAGCAAATCTTTCACTTAAAGCTTTAGCCCAGTAGCCAGGTTTATTGGTGAGGTCTGGACATGCATACTTTGGTAGAGCATCACGCAGTCCAGCAGGATCCTGAGATGTGAATCCAAAGCGGATAACTCCTGACCAGTTTGTGGATACTTCTAGGAGACGAAGGCACACCCGTTCACCAACTTTGATAGGACGTGCTGAGAAGGCAATTCCTTTGCAGAAGCTTTCAGCACGGCGGGCTACTTTGCCATCGTTGCTGATGCGGACGTTGTCGCCACATACTGGATGGAACGTCAAGGGAGGCTGATTAGAAGATGATGAACCACGACCAGCTGTAAATACATAATAAAATTAGAGACTATAATCTTAAAACATTACACTACAGTATATTGCCTTTGCACCACAAAAGTAGTATTGTACTTTCTCTAACAATAAAAAGGAACTACTGTTCTGATTCCTTATTGCATAACAATGATGCATTATAGCTCCTACAGTATGCTTCCTTTGCAACAACAAAAATGATATTGTACTTTTTCACATAAAAGTTCCTAGTTCCTTGATGCATAATAAAGATATAATTTATACCACTTTACCTAGATTACTAGGCTTATCTTATGTATATGACTGTCAAAGATAAGAATCCATCAGGCAGTGTTTAATGCTATGACCTCTACACTTTTGCCGAGACAAACAAACAACAAATTTTCAGCAAGACTAGACATGGTTCCTTAATACTTAATAAATTTCCAATGACATCTAGCAAAGGTCTGCTTTTCCTTGTAAGTGTGAAAAGCACTGAAGGCCAAAGCATGAGAATATCAAATGCTCTATCCAAAACGATTTAAACTTGGGGTAATCTGTGAAAAATTAGCCTCAAATAACAGTAATGCTGTGCTGTAACTCCACACTTGGCAAAGACTAAATCTCTTTAATGCATATACTGAAACCATAAAGCTTGAAATGGGTTTATTATTCCCTTGTTCTATTTCCCAAGGATTTGTGGCAGTTTAATGGTCTTCACCAAAGTGCCAACGAGCATGGAGGCTGTGTCAATCATGTGAGTGAACCTAGAAACATTTTATTTTATGGCCACTGCCTTCTTTCCCATTGTTGAACAACCCTATCCTTTCTCAACCATAGGAAGTAAAACCCAACAACTCTATTTCCCGTAAAATCGAACTGTGAAAGGGTCTGGCCACGTGCTATTATGTTGCTTGCTCTGTAGAAAAAGTATCATTGATAATATGGAATATCCCCAAATGAACGTGGAATCTCTTGGGTTATGTTAACCGAGAATTTGTTTACAACAATGCACTCTTCGCTTACTATACTATATACTTTATCCATTCAACAAATAACAAGGTCTACATTCCAATTATTATTGCGAATTTTACAATAAATTGTACGGACCCTTTTCGTGTAAACAATTTCCTCGTTTTTCCTTCACAATTCAATGCAAGTCAAACCACAGATTACGCCGCAAGGTATAGTGACGCCCTACATCTCTCAAGGGTTCGCGGCCGGAAGTCACGGTTACCGGATGTTAAGAACCGTGTCGGGTACCTCCGCCATTGCCAAACTGATCGCCATTTCTTCTTTACCTACTCCCAACAAAACTGAATTAAAAATCCTCTTAATATAGCATAATTTACAAAACAATGGCACCCAAAGTCTAAGACAACAGCAATTTGCGTACATACCAAGGCCCATGCGTCTCTTGAATTTTTTGAGGACCTTCATTTTCTTGAATATTGGGCCCGCTGTGTAACAAGTGACAGTGGGTTCAACAGCGTACTCTTCAATACATAAGGCAGGCATCACAGTGGTTACTAACGACCACAAAAAGTGTCGACCATTCAGCCTTCTAACACGACACTCAGACAGCCGTGCTGTGTATACACTTTCACAGATAATTCTTTCTTTGATATAATTCACTTCCGGACACTGCTCTAGCTATTGTCTTGATGATATGTTCACTGGTTAAATCATCTGCACAATTCCATACTATAAAGACCTGAATCTACACGATCCTCCCGTAAATATAACCGAGAGACAGGAGAATACGGAGAGCGTGCACCCTCGTCTTCCGCTGTATGACTAGAGACTGGCGAGAGCTGGGGGTAATGGAAGGAAGGCAGCTGCGCTCCTCCCACCCTCCCTCCCTACCTTTCCCTTCCCTTCCTTCACACTCCACGCGCTGGCGGAGGAAGGGGACGCGCGGGGCCACAGTTAATTCATTTGATTTTTCCTCTTTTATTAATATGATGAGACTCCCTTAGATTGTTCTTAATAAATATGACTTGCACGTAGCATGTTTGGAGGAATTTATAATCAAAGATCTAATTAACTTATAGGAATGGTGATTATTGGAAAACATAATAAACAAATTTTGTTAAACATTTTAAGCCATGCAAGGCCATATAAAATGTGATACGAAAGGTTCTAAGTTTAGTAAGAATCGTAAAGCCAAATCCTAATTTTTCATAATTCACGACTATCCCATGGCAACACCGGAAAACTGGATGGTTGGAAGGGACGAGCGGTGATGGAGGAAGGGGGGTGGAGGGAGAAATGGGCGGAGGGGGATGAAGTGGGAGCGAAGGACAGATGTTCGACGCACGAGCCGACCGACCCTTACTCCCTGATATGTTTCAGCAATTTTCTTTTTGGCTTTCCACTTCCTTAAAATATGAAACTTTGTCATTCATATAGTCCTCAGATCACGATAAATGCCGTATATATGATATGGATATATTCATAAACAGAAGACTTACTGATTTTAATGTAAACATACCATGTGGCAAAGCTGCCAGGTGGAAGACTAATAAGTACGAGCAGACGATATATTGGACATTAATATTTATACTTACATACCCGGGAGCCTTGGTAACATATCCAGGGCTTATTCACACTGGTAATTTAATGTCGAACTTTGGACTATGCATGTAATGTAAATTAACACAACATACGGAAACGTCAACATTTGGCGGGTGCTCCGCGCGTGTCCCACGGTTGGATGGGCATACTCGATGTTGCCACCTTTTTTATTTGAAAATTTTATATATATATTTTCATCATATTCCATTACCTTCCAGCTTCTTCTTAGAGTTCGTAAAACAACAATCTAGAACATAAAGAAATTATACGGGAATCAATTACTGGTCAGCTATCCACGTTGGAGCAGTTGGATACTTGGAAAGTTGTAGTATGGTACCTACACATTCTCGGTCTGCGTGGACGATCCAACTTCTCCCATGTTTACCTGACAACTCGAACTGTCACAAAGTTTTTTGAACATATGTGATTACTAAATAAGAAAACTATAGTCAAGTTTCATACACAAAATTAAATAATCTAATGTTTTATATAATGTATATGTTAACGCCATCCCTGCTTAATACATAATTTTGAAATAGGTATGCATACATGTCTCTATTACAAAAACATTGACGTAGTAATTTATCAGTTCGAATTATCGATCAGTATAAGTGATCTTATTGTATTCTACATATCTTCATCAAATTACCGGGGATAGCCATGCGATGATAATTTTAATGTTTTAATGAAGCAGAACTAGTAATCGTATTTCGTCCTCATACTTCTACTATAATTGATTATTATTATACTTATTATTATACTTATTATTATTATTATTATTATTATTATTATTATTATTATTATTATTATTATTATTATTATATCATCATTATTATTATCATTCTTGTTGTTGTTGTTGTTATCATTTTATTATTGTTGTTATTATTATTATTATTATCATTTTATTGTTGTTGTTGTTGTTATTAGTATTATTATTATTATTGCTATTACTATTATAATCATTATCATTATTATTACCATTATCATTATTACTATTATCATTATTATAATAATAATAATTGTTAATAATAATAATTGTTACAATAATAGTAATTGTTATTATTTATCATTATGTATTACTATTAGTATTATTATAAAAAAATAATGGTAAAAATTTCAACACTAATGGCGTTACAATCATCATCAAAATAATAATCATTATAATAATGGCCATACTAATAATGATAAGAATGATTATTAATATTATCATTATCATGATTATTTTTATTTTAATGATGATGGTGATGATGATAATATAAAGCAATAGTAATAACAATAACAATAAAACAACAACAACTATAACAGCAACAATAATGATGATAATGATCATGAAAATAGAAATAGTAAAATAATATATATATACATTATGGTAATAATTATAATAACAATAATAACAACAACAACAACAATAATAATAATAATGATAATAATAATAATAATAATAATAATAATAATAATAATAATAATAATAACAATAATAATAATAGTAATAATAATAATAATAAATATAATAATAGTGGTAGTAGTACTGGTAAATATTAGGATGATGGTGATAATAGGAACAATAATAAAAATAGTAATGATGATATTGATAATAATGTTACTAATAACAATTGTAGCAATAACATTTCCAGTAATAATAATGATAATAATGACAATAATCATCATAATTATCATTATCATCATAATCATGACCATCATCACAATTACCATTTACTGTTGTTGTTGTTGTTATATTGTTATTATATTATCATATTATCATTATCATTATTATTAGTAGTAGTAGTATGATCATCATCATTATCATCATCAAAATAATAATAATAGTAATAATAATAATGATGATAATTATGATAATAATAATAATAATAATAATAATAATAATAATAATAATAATAATAATAATAATAATAATGATAATTATGATGATAATAATAATAATAATCATTATTATTATTATTAATGATAATGACAACAATCATCATTATCATTATCATCATCACCATCATCATCAACACCATCACCATTATCAAAATAATAATAATAATAATAATAATAATAATGATAATTATGATGATAATAATAATTATTATTATCATTATTATTAATGATAATGATAATAATCATCATTATCATTATCATCATCACCATCATCATCAACACCATCACCATTATCAAAATAATAATAATAATAATAATAATAATAATAATAATATAATAATAATATAATAATAATAATAATAATAATAATAATAATGGTTAAAAGCGAAATAAATGTGCTAGGCATCTAAGCTCATATAGGGAGGTATAGTAAAGAGTGATGTCAGGTGATAGTTGCTGTGCGTCAACTACCTAATGTTGGAAAGTTGAAGATGGGTAAGGGGGATGATGGGGGAAAGGGTTATGGTGATTTAGGTAAGGGAATTAGATCAAGTGAAGGATATATATGCATCTGAGGAAGGAGAACAGGTTGTTATAAGAAGCAATATTTTATGAATGAAAGTGCCGGTACATGTTGGGGAATCTGGGAGGGGGGAGCTAGGGGGTGTAAAGGAGGGGTATCAGGAGGTAGGGAATCTGGGGAAGGGCATTGTTGTGACATGAGTGATTCCCGTGTGTATCCGGGAGGGAGTGGAAAGGATAGAGGGGAGGGAGGGAGGTAGAATGTGCGTATAATTGGAATTGAAGGGGATGGGTTGTGTTGGGAGGGATTAGGAGGAAGGGGTGTAGGGGTGTTATGAGTAAGAGGGGGTGGATTTCAGGATGTTTAGATATCGGTGGTGGACGGAATTGAGGGGGTTAGGTGGTGTTGAGAGGGAGTAGGAGGAAGGGGTGTAGGGGGAATATGAGTAGGAGGGGTATAGATATCGGCAATCACTTTAAGTGTGGAGGGAGCATGAGTTATGGAATTTTGTGTCTCAAGCATATAGCTTTGAATGTCTTCCATAGTTTCTGCAGTGGAGTTAGTTGGAGAGTTTTGTGGGACAAAGGTTTTCTTATGAGGGGGGGAAGAGGAGACTGGTGTCTGAGGAGTAAAGGTAGGTGGAGGTGAATGTGCGGTAGGGGAAGAAGGGGTGGAACGTTTAGTCTACTACGGGTACTGCGGGGAGGGAGAGGTGATGGTGTTGGGGCTGTAGTTGAGACTGGAGCTGTGGTTGAGAGTGGGGTGTCTGGATTTAGAGTGGCAAAAAATTTGATTGGGGGACGTTAGATGTAGAAGTGGAAGTGGGGAAGTAAGTAGGTTTTGGGGAGGGCCTAGGAACATCTTGAGGTGGAGGGGGAGGGGCAGAGCGAGACATTACTGGAGTTGGGAGTATAAGAGAAACCTTGTCGGCGTGCTTCCTGTCTGGCTTCACGTAGAGTGAGACCATTTTTGTATCTCGAACTTGTAAGTGGGACAGCCTCTATTAAATACAATATGGGAGCCGCCGCAGTTAGTACATGTGCGTGTTTGTGCAGGGCAGTTTGATCTGTTATGACCGGGTTAGGCACAGCGGGGGCATCGGTCTGTGGAGCGGCATTGTTTGGCAGGATGTCCAAATCGCCAACAATTTTGACATTGACGGGGAGGAGGTTGGTATGGTTAAACAGGAAGGGATTGCCCACCAATGTAGATACGAACGGGAAGGTCATGTGTACTGAAAGTAATTTTGGCAATATTGATGGGTTTCTTTCGATGACCTCTAGGAGGAATGGAGTAGCAATGTACTGATATCACGTTCTGGTCTTTGAGGCAGCCGAGCAAGTCTTCTCCACAATCTGATCAATCTTTGGTATCGACTGGGCAGTTTATTGCGGAGATAGAGACAGTTCCGGTACAAGTTGGATGAGGTTCTGCAGGGATGGGGTTGCCAGAGAGATCAGTTAGTTTTCATAATGCTATAGCTTCAGCTTCAGATCTGACTGTTATGAGACGGGAGCGATCGCGTCGGGTACGGAAAGTTACTCTGCCTACATGTTTTTAGAGACACTGTTGAAAGAGAAGAATGTTGCCTGAGTAAGGAGCTGTAGGGGGGATCACGAAAAATCGGTCTCATTTAGCTGGGCTAAATAGAGTAGTTCAGATATTAGTAGGGTTGGTGGTGGTAGAAGGACGGGGGCGTGTGGAATCGGGAGTGTTGTTGAGGGTGGTAGTATTACTGAGAGATGGAGAATAAGGCTGTAAGGTAGTAATAAAGGAGGTTGGGTGGATGATGAAGAAAATTGCAGGAGTAGAGTTGATGAATTTGAGGAAGTTGGGAGGGT